ATTGAAACACATTATTGTAGATATCTCATTCTATATATATATATATATATATATATATATATATATATATATGTATTCAATGCCAAATTGAAATAACCTGAATTATTTGTAAACAAAAGAAAATTAAAATGTGTATTTGGCTTATAATTTTAATATTTTAAGATGGGGTAGACAGGAAAATTCCATTGTTACATTTAAAGCAAATTCTGCACCATAGTGAGCTAGATTGTAAAATAATCTAGACATTTCTTTTGTAGGTTAGAGTCCCAACCTTTGCATTTGTGCTATTTTCATTTGTAGTCAAAATTGTCAATAAAAGTCAGTTTCAAATGCATTATAGAGTATTACATGATGGCCTTTTGAAATCTAATTTTTATTTTTGTTGTATCTGCATTGTGTGTCTGAATGTGGCTTTGTGAATGTGTGTGCAGAGCTTTTGGAAGCCAAAGGAGGGCACTGGATCCTCTGAGCTAGAGTTTTGGATGAATGTGTGTGACCCAATGAGTTCAGGGAAATGAACTCTATTTGTCCAAAGGAGCAACAAGTACATTTGCTACTGAGCCAGGGGTGGCATTTTGAATTACTACTTTTATTATCAATGTAGTCATCTAAAATTATTTGAGAATAACTGATTTTGGCTGATTAGTGAAATTTATGTGTGGAAATAGGGCTGACGTATTTAAATCTAAAAAGATCATGAATTCTTTGATTCATCCTCTTCTCAGTTTTTCAACTTTATTAACTTCTTGCTCATGTATTAACTACATGTTTCTTGGAATAGTTGTACAAACCTTACAGGAAATTGGAAACCAATAATCTTGTATCATACCTTATGAAATGTATTGTTATATTAAAACTCTGAAGTGAAGTAAATTTTTATTCAGCAATGAGAATATACTATAATTCATCTTTATATTATTTAAAATATGAAGATCTTCAGTTTTCTATTATTGGTGATTGCAAAAGCATATCATGGCTAATTTAATACAACACAAGTTCTCAGGTACTACAATGTTTTGGAAAGGCTTTTTTGATAAAATATTCATCATGCCATTCCCACAGTTGCAGAGAATATTTTTCCACATAGAAGCATTTCACCTGAGAAGTACAAATGAGAAGTTTCAATGAATTTTATTTGTAGTTTACATGTCCCTATCCTCAAAGATCCTGTCATCTCAGCTTCCTTGAATTTATTTGAAATAAGTATGAATGAGGACCATGACATTCTGCTAGTAAGACAACCTAAATATCCAATAACCCATTTGTGTTCACATGCTCATACTGTTACCATACACTTATTGAAAAACGTTATCCCATAAATCAAAATTTACCCATCCTGTGTTTAGTTGATATACTGAAAACCTAATGTTCATATGTTTTGTTTCCTTTTATAAAGCAAACTGAACTTTTATGTAAAACATCTATGTTTATGTAAAACTCTTCATCATATGTTCCCAATTCTACCCACTGGAATTTTCTTACTCTCCAGTACAGACTGACCTGGAGTGAGTTTGGTACCCCAAGTGACCCTGGTTCATTGAGTTCCTCCTAATGTCATATGCTGAATCTTAACACATAAGCCCAAACACCTGACTTAATTGGAGAGACTCCTGAATTGTAAAAGTCAATTTTTTTCACAAAACCTGTGCCTTAATATTTTTAAGATTCCAGCCATAAAATTCTTAAATTGAACATTATTCAAAGGTTAAGGTCATTATTATGTCAGAATACACAGTGAGTGTGATGGTGAAAAGAGATGTGTTTTAAGAAAGAATACTTTGGGTGTGGTAGTACAAGTATTTTAAATTTAGCACCCTGGAGGAAAAGGATGGTGTATCTTTGAGTTTGGAACAGTTATCATACCACATTTCTGGCCAGCAGGGGGATACATAGTGACACATTGCTTAGAATACTGTATTTTGCAGTTTCTATGAGGAAGACATAAATGCCAATGCTTTGTAAATTGTTAAGATCTCAAACATTTTGACATAAAGTTCAACACATTATAATTAAACTTTAAAACAAAAAAGTGATAAAGAAATATACACATTAATTTTTAAAGAAATTGGAATTCATAACTATCCCTCCTTACACGACTGTAGTCCATGCAATATTAAGTAATTTGATTTTTCTTAATATATTATTATAGATTAAGATAATAGGATACTCTATCATGTGAAGACTGTTGTTGGAGGCAGGATTTATACTTTCTCCTTGGCTATTCCATTAACCAAACATTTCCTCATTAGGCACAAGAGAACCATTAATAATTCACTGTTTCTATGTATTACCTGGTACTCTGGAGTACCTTACAATTTTATGCAAAATTTCTTATCAAATGGAAATTTTGAGAGTAGAAATGGATGCTTGTTTGCTGATGTAATCTCTAAGAATGATATGCCTTTTATGTTTCCTCAAAATTCCTACAACAAAGTCTTTGCCAGGATTAATAAGATAGCACAAATATCAAGATAAATGTATATGATTGTGTTTAGAGCACTGTTCGTAAGAAATAGCAGTAACTGCTCTCCTGAGTCACTTACATTAGAAATAAAAAGAAATATGTAATACCTAACAACCTAGGAACAATGTAGTAAAATAACACACATTATCTGGAATGGGGAAAATTCTATTTCTGTACAGTTTTGTGTATTTGTACGCTCTTCTATCCATCTCACTGTGGTGAGGTGATTCATGTCTTAAGGGCTCTTGAATAAGAAATTCATGAAGTGTTAATAATAACAGTCAAAGCACACCAAATGTTTAGGATGTATTCCCCTTTTCTAAAAACAATATATTTTAATCATATTATATAAGTTCTTAAAAACTGTATTAGGTATGTTTTACTACTTAATTTCCAATTCCTTAAGGAAACACTGATATTTCTACTTTTGGAAAAAAAAGTGACACTAAGATATATTTTGTTTTCAATTTTGTTGTATCTATTGAATAACCTCTAGGAAACTACAAAACAAACTGTGTTGTTTTTATTCTAAAGTACATGAGTTGTTTTAAATATCTGCATATTCAAAACCAAAAAGGCATCTTGGTAAATATCTATTTGACACTGCACCTATAGCACACAATAATCATGAATCAAATTTGTAATGAAATACATAGTCGTTCTGGTCGCATTTTCTTAATGCAGTTATAAATGAAACTTTTATATCTGATGAATTTAATTTTCTTGTGGGATCTTATGAATAGTAAAATCACTTCCTTTGAGTTTCACTGAAAATAATTTAAGTATTTTCACTTTTTTCTGGCTGTTTAATGTTATATGCTTAATCATGTACCACATCAACTCAGTATTCATCAACATAGTCATCTTCCAAATACCTGTCATTGTGTAGGCACAATCAAACCATCATCCAGTCACTCATTTATTCATTCATCTATGTAAAAATATGTTGAATGCCAACTCCAAATCAGATACTAGGTCTCTGATGAAATTTGTAAGTGAATACTACTAGTTCCTGTCATTTAAGTAGCTGACAAATGCTGAAGGAAAATCATACTAAAGTTGGTGTATTTCACTATTGTGTAAAAAGCACATCCAGAGAGAGAGTAGAGCTTCCTGGAGTTGAGGTTTCAGGGAAATTATATAAAGCAAAATTTGAAAAGGAATCCAATACTTGGCCATTGTTAGAGAGAATATCCTTTAAAAGAGCAAGTAAGTTCAAATATATGAAAACATGCAGACCAATCAGAGAATTTAGATAAATTCCTGTAATAGGAAAAAAATTTTCCAAAGGATACAAGATATGTTCAATATTTTAGTAATTTTATTAAAGGATTTAAGTAGGAAGATTAGAAAAATATCTTAAGTAATAAATTTTGGCAATAATACAATCTAGTACACTTTTGAGGGTCAGCAAGGGGTGGCACATATCTTTAATTCTGGAACTCTGGATGCAGAGGCAGGAGGATCTCTGTGAGTTAGATGCCACCTGGACTACTACTGCTAGTGAGCTCCAGGACAGCCTGGTATCCACAGAAAGACTCTGTCAATAAAACCAACATATAAATAAGAAAGAATAGTTAGCATGCTTTAGGAAATAAATTATAGAATGCATATTGTATAGCACTTGGGATATGACAAATGAGTCATAGCAAAGAACATAAGTAAATTGCTCAAATATTAAGGAAGGTGGTCATATTGGAGTTACTCACAGAAAATGGAAAGAAAATGGTTGAAAAAAGCAAATCGAAATGGTTTAAACAAATAAATATTGACTTATTTGTTAGGCCCATTGAGTAGGAATGGCCCTAGAATATCTCAATAAAATCATTATTTACAAAGTGAGAACAGAATTTTCCAAGAAATTAATTCTGAGCTATTAAAGAAAAGAATGAAGAAAAACAGAGATATTTGCTTGAAATATTTAAAAATATCCATTCATAAACAGAGAGGAAAGAAGCACCAGAAAAAATAAAACAGGTATTTTAGTCAGTCAGTATACTTCAAAATAAATTAAAAGTTCTCATTCATGAACTATAGGTTATGTCATAATGAGAGTAGTTTTCAAAAACTTACAAATTATTGGCTAGTAAATAAAACAATAGATGAAATTTTCATGGATAGAGATGAGAGGCAAGATTTATTTCTGTTGAATTACATAATGGGCTGAGTATATATGATTGAAAAGAGTTGCTAAACAAGCTAGAGTAAGCATTAAAGAAGTGGGAAGGGATCAAGAAAAAGAAAGAAGGGAAGAAAGAAAATAAGGGAGGGAGGGAGGAAGGAAGGAAGGAAGGAAGGAAGGAGGGAAGGAAGGAAGGAAGGAAAGGCCAAAACGTTTCAGGAGATCATGGAAAGAAGGAAGGAAGGAAGGAAGGAAGGAAGGAAGAAAGGAAGGAAGGAAAGGCCAAAAAGTTTCAGGAGATCATGGAAGCAGAGGAAAATATTGAGCAATTACAACTGGAAAGGGCAGTGGCAAATTAGCTAGACATGAAGGAGAGAACAGAAGATGACTGTGGTGTGGCATATGAGAAAATGACCTTTAATATAGGCTTAGATGGCTTAATACTTAGTAGAATCTAGAGAACATGATTTGTTGACCATCAAAACTAGCAGCTCGAAAAGTGAGTTCCATTCCAAATGAGTGTTGCTGTCATTTCTTATCGCTAGTAGGGAAACTAGCTCTTGGTTTGAGAGGATTCAATTACATTCACTGCTCCATGGGTGACATTGTTTATTTACCACTTTTAGATGTGGCTAACTGTGGCTCACTTTGTTCTAGGAGGTGTGGCTACAGCAAAGCAAAGCAGGATCCAGAAGAGGAAAAGATGCACTTTCATAATGGGCACAGTAAGCAAATTGTGCAAAATAAAAATGAGAGACTTTATTATTCCGATTGTTGCTTGGGTTAGGTGATTATTCCAATTGTTGGTTGGGTTAGGTGATTTGTAATCATTGACCAAATCTATTATGCATAAAACAAGCAAATACTCCTGCATTTATAACTCTTGGGCTTGAGCAACCTCTGAATGGTTTATTCAGTTCAAAACCAAATCGATCCATTTTAATCATTAAAATAAATTTGCTTGCCTACCATAGAAAGCTACTGTAGTTTAAATCAAAATCTCAGATGATGAAAAGTGAGTAGAAGTCTATCATGAAATATGCCATCCAGAGGGCCTAATGAATGAATGTCACTCAGCTGCTTCTTTTTGTAGGATTGCAATGGGAATTTCCTGAGGTACAAAGCCTTTCTTTCAGCAACCTTGGTTCAGATGACCTTAAAAGGAACACACTTTGCAAGAAATATGTGAAATACAGTTAGAATAATAAGCTTAAAAATAACATAGTGAGCTTTAATTGGTATTTTATTTTTTGGTTGTGAGCCTAGGCTTTAACAACTAAGCCATCTTTCCAACACTTTAATTGGTAATTTAGAGTGTTCAGTTTTCAGTAAGTGGTACATAACATGAGTTGATTTGAAAAATGAGTAAGGGCACATTTCTTTTGCTTCATTCCCTCTTCTAAGACCCTACACATCATGCTGAGAAGCATGGAGTATACTTCCCAGTCCTATGGGTCTGTTATCCATCTTTAAAAGGCAATCCTGGTATGATTATCGGTAACCTGAACTCAAATGATTTACAGAACTCTTAGAATAGACACCATGTGAAAAACAGTTTGGTTTTCCTTTTGATTTCTATTCCAGAACCACTAGGAGTTGTTTTAAATGACTTTTGGAATTAAAATTAATAGTCTATTACATATATAAAAATGACCCCATAGAACAAACAAAAGATAGGACATTATTTCCCTGCCCTCTTCAATCATCAAAGCGTTCTCAATATTTATCGAAGTCTCACAGACTGAACAGGAACTCAGAAGATGATTACATAGATATGCTAGCATGTTACACATTTCTTGTATAGGGGAGAACGTCCATCTTTTTAAGTTATAAATGTAAAATAGCTGTGAACGTGAACATAAATGTCATAAATCAGAAGAAATTCTTTTCTTGCAATTCAACTCCTTTTAGAAGTTAGAGAGTTCAGTCACATTAGAGTGTTAGCAAAGTTGATGTCATCCACTCTACTCCATTAATGTCCATGTATTGTTACAGTTAAACTGCCAGGAGTAAGAACCTACATTGATCCACACACCTACGAAGATCCCAATCAAGCTGTCCATGAATTTGCCAAGGAGATTGAAGCTTCCTGCATCACCATTGAGAGAGTCATTGGAGCAGGTGTGTGGACATCTACATTCTGACCTTTCACCTTTGTTTATACTAAGAATGTAATACATCAATGCCCTTCTCTCACACAGAATATTCTTAACCTCTTGTAATTTACTTTTTCTCTCAAAATTGTTTATAACTGATCACCTTTTAAGACAAGCTTCTGGGTAGTTCATAAATGAGCAAATGTCTACCTTCTTAGCAGAGAGACCAAAGAAAGAATCTTTTGCCATTTAGTGTTATATATCTGTGCCTAGTTCCCTTTTCTTTTCTGTTTTCATCAGTAGTAGGTACTCACAGAGAAGCAAAAACAAGATGAATTAGAGTCAGTGTTTTTTTTTCTTTTTAATTTCTTTCTAATGTTACCATTTGGGTTGTTTAGATTAAATTGATGAAACTAGTAAATTCTAAAGTGTTTTTTTGATCATCTGTAGTGGATATTTCAAAATGTAACATTGACTTTTGTTATTTATTAATGTGGATGTTTGGTCTCACCTTTAGTTTATCTTCTTCCATCTGAACCTTAATGCATCATGAATTTGGAGTTTTATTAGAGTAAGAATTCTAAAAGAGTTTATGCAGTATTTTGTATCTTTTCACAAGGTGAATTTGGTGAAGTTTGTAGTGGACGTTTGAAACTACCAGGGAAAAGAGAATTACCTGTGGCTATTAAAACGCTTAAAGTAGGCTATACTGAAAAGCAGCGTCGAGATTTCCTGGGTGAAGCAAGTATAATGGGGCAGTTTGATCATCCGAACATCATCCATTTAGAAGGTGTTGTGACCAAAAGTAAGTACAATGGCACAGTGTGTGTGTGTGTGTGTGTGTGATACACATCATGGGTATCTGCTTCAATTATTGGTGTTTCTACATTAAAAGAACTGAGCAAACGAATATAAATTTCTCAAATGGAAAACATTTCCTTATACTTTAGTAGATTTTTCCTAAAGATGATATATGGTGAGCACAAATTTTCATTTTATAAGATGTATATTCATTGACCATGAATTCATTGCCAGAAAATAAAAAACCTGTAAGTAGTAAAATGCAAAAAATAGATTAAGTTTTTATTTTTTGTTGTTTATGTAAATTTTTTATTTTTTCTTGTGAACCTAGCAGTCAAGTCATATCTCAGGCCCCGTTTACATATTTTTTAATTGGTTTAGTTATTTGCTACTGGGAATTAACTTTTCTCATCAACAACCTCAAAAAAAATAAATTAATCAGTAAGGATTAATTTGTTTTTCATTACAGGAAGTCTAGCTCTTATTCAGAAGTACCAGAGATTTACATGCATTTAGGTATTTTTTAGCATCTTATGAATGCATTTATGTACTATGCCTCTCCATGAAGGGTGCCAAAATCTTTAAATGTTCAATTGCTCAATAAAGAATATAACTGGTCCTCCTCTAGTCCAGGATGATTTTTTTTTACATACTGTTTGTCGTAAGTTACTTGGTTTGCACATAGTACTCAGAATGAATACTCAAAGACTACTATTTGACATGACATTCACATGCATGCACATGTGTATTTGCACAGAAAAAGTAAAGTACACAAATAAATGTACAACAATTGCACTAAACCAAAATCAAATGAACATAGAGATACAAGGAAAGTAGCAATGTAATCATTGAGCATACACTTGGGCAATGCCCATTATGAGTTTTTTCTGTGTTAATTAGTAGTATCTTCACAATTGTGTTCTGAGGTACCTTCATCCATCTTAATGATAGAGATTATAAAACTCAAAGTTTAAAATCTATTTTAATTCTTCAATAGAAATGGACACATGGTCAATGAAAGTCTAGATAAAATTCCAAAAATTCTCACTGCCAACAGTAATTTCTACTTAATAATTTCATAATTATCAAATGAATATTTGGAATTGTCTGAAGTTATATATCCCACACTGTACTTAAAGAAAGCTTCAAAATGTCCCAACATTCAGCCTTTTGTAGGATTTTCATGGCCTGTTTCAGCTGGCCTTGCCCTATCAGTGCACAGGCAGCATTGTAGCAGAGTTCATGCATGCCTTCTTGGAGACCCAAGTTCTCCTGTCACAGAGAAAAATGTCAGTCAAACAGTAAACATGCATATTTTTTCATAGCTGTATAGGGACAGAAAGAGACACACTATATACATTGCTCTGACTGTAGTGCTTTTGAAATATATACCTCATATTTATTGCTTTTAACACCCTTCAAACTCTTACTCAAATTCCACAAATTATTAAACACAATAGCTCCTCGTTTTTCCTGAGTCATCTCCTGGTTATTCCAGTGCTATGAAGGTACATGTAATAATCTATAATGCTCTTTTATTTGGTGCAACTCTTATAAAATCTTTTAGTTAACTTTTGCATATTTGCATACATTTTCAGTTCACTAGCCAAATAGTGAGTTGTGCTGCTCTGGGGAGCATTAATGCAGAGTCTTTAAGTAAACTGATTTTATCGAAATCTATGCTAAGACATAGCTACTTTAATTAAATACCTTATGCCTTACTGTCACCCTGAAAAAGAAATGGACCTAACTTAAAGGACGTCATAGAGACTCTTATGTTCTTTTATGCATGTTGGTGAGTATATGTGTGTGACCAAAAGTTGTATTAGTGAATAGGTACATATTTTCACATTTTTAACTAAATGTGGTTCAGAGTAGTAGACAATGTCCCAAGTTTTAGAGATATATTCATATATATTTATGTATCCTTATGTATGATTTATTATATGTCATACTTATGCAACTATGTACTGAGGAACTGAACTAGACAACTTCCTATAATAACACAGGCAAATTCCTCATATAATTTTATGCACTTGAAACCTTTATTATTAGGATCTAATGCCAAAGTAAACACGTGATCATATGCAGATGATGTGTGTCATTGAAAGCCTTGTCTTTATTCTATTACCACAGGTGATAAAAGATTGAGGACTCATTTAGATTCATATATATATATATGAATGTGTATAAAACATTTATGTACATATATGTAACACACTATACCATATATCTAGTAGAGGAGTCTCATGACTTTAGAAACACATGGGTCCCAGCTTAAGTGAGTCATTTATAACACAAGACACTTTGATGTTCTTATACAGTAGCAACTTTTACCATTTAATAAGTTCTAAGAAAAAAATGAAGACATAAGTTACTTATTTTCCCACTGTTAGGATGCTTAGCACTTTGAAGTGTGTGAATATTTATGAGAGAGGACTGTGCACGTGCTTATGTGCATACATGCATGTGAAGGCTAAGGCAAACTCAGGTGTGGTTTCCCTGGAACCATTTACTCCTTTTCTCCAGTTTCGTTTTGCCGTGGGACACACTGTCTCATTGACTGGTAGCATGCCTTGTAGGCTAGGCAGGGTGGTCAATGAGCTCCTGAGATCCATCTCTGTCCTGTCTGCATTCTTACAGTTACAAATCCAAACATCAATGCTGATTGTGTTAGCATGTATTTTGGAAGTCAAATCCTGTTTCTAACTATGGCATTAACATCAAACTAGACTTTACTTACTGAGCCATTTCCACACCCTAGTTGCTTAGTTAACTTTATTTCCATGGGCTGAGACAATAGCCTTGTCAATGAATTCTCTCCAGGCAAGGATAAGGACCTCAGTTAAGGCTTCCATAGTCATCTAAAAACTCTAACATAGTGGTGACAGTTTGTAATTTCAATGTTGGATAGCTAGAGAAAAGTAGGTATCTCACTAGACCAAGCAGTCTAGTGAGAGGGTCTTTCTTTAAAAAAACAAGACATGGTTCTGTTTCTCAATTCAAGATATTCTACCTGAGGTTGGCCTATGGCCTCGATGACCAGAGCTGCATGTGTGTTTGTTTATGCTCATGAACATATCACATGCACAATGTCTTTTCCTGGCAGTGGCAATTAGCTAAGCCTAAAGAAAAGAAGAGAAATTTCCATTGAACTAAGTTATTTTACAGTTTTACTTGTTAATTAGAATAATGTAAAAATGAATTTACTTTTATTATGAAATTAACAAATTTAACTCAATGTTGAAATAACTTTAAAGCAGTAATCTCACTCTCCTTCTACATATTCAGATTAATTGACAATTGATGACTAATATATTCTGAAAGTGTTGATGGATAGGAAACGGTTATTATTGTTTTCCAAATGTCTTATTTCTTTCTTAGGAGATCATTCTTTTAAAATAATATAATGCTTTTAACAATTCTTTGAATATTTCTTACAATATGTCCTCATATCATTTACTTACCACTGTTCCCCCTCCCCTCCCCATCTTTCCACTTCTCCATACCCCTAATTTTTTATTCTTTTCTCTTTTCCTTGGAGAAAAGAATCTTACTGCATGTGTTCTAGGTACTATGGCACTCACAATGAGGTCATGTGCCCCCTCTTCCATGATGTTCTTCAAGAGTTAAGTATAAGGGTTGTATTGCAAATGTATTATTGGGCCTGGGGTTGCCACAGTCAGCTCATTTGAACTCTGCATTTAAATTTATTCTGAATTATTTAACTGTTTTCTCCAGAAGGAACTTTCTTTGAGGAGGGAGGAAAGTTACACCTAACTTAGCCATAAGGGTAAATATTTAGAATATAGTTAGAAAGTGTACTATTTTAGTTAAGTGATGACAGTAGTTTCTCCTCAGTGGTCTATGACCTCATAGAGTAGCTGAGTAAATTTACACTTGCAGCATAATTTATTCCTTTAGTGAGTGTTAACCCCAAATGTAAGGATGTTAATTACCCCACAGAAAAAAATTGTCACTACTGCACATTTTGGAATATCTTGTCTGGCTGCTGCGGTTTGTAAACATTAGAAAGTGGTAGGTCTTTTACTGTTCTTTTCCTTTGGCATCTTGCATACCTCTTTAAAATATTGTTAGAGATAATCCTAAGGGAACAGGCTTCCAAGTCAAATCTAGGAAGATTCTTTCACAGTCCCATGTCTGAACAATGTGGTGTCTTCATCAATAGTATCTTAGATCATTTCTTTTTAAACCCTTGTTAATATTTTAATTAGTGTTATTCCAACTTCTTTCCCTCTTTGACAATTTCACAGCAAAGTCTGCTCACCTGTTTCCCTTAGACTTTACCAAATAGTGCTTTTCTATTATGTTTCTGTACCAGCAAGCAAACAACTTCATTACAATGCATGCTTATCTTGATGAAATTCTGCTGTATTTCTATTCTCCTCTACATTCTCCACAGAAATTCCATGTAGTTATTTTGCTTCTTCGTGTAAGTTTATCCACTATTATAATGAACTACTATACTGTCCCTTGCTCTCAAATTTTAATTAACTGTGTCCTTCTCCACGGAATCATAATCATTTAATTTCACTTTTCCTTCAAGACTGAATGTCTGTATGATAAAAGGTTGGCACTCCATGATGCAAAATAGCTGAGAGAACAAAAAACTCCAGATCCAGACCAGAATGCCAACTTAAGAGGGCAAGCTGCAAAGGAAAGAGGTTCTTATTTTCCTCATTTGTGTGTTCTCAATCAGAGCCCAATGTTACACAGATTTTACTCATTTTTAAAGGAATAACTCTTGCCGTGCTATAATATAGCAGGTCGTGCTATAAATGATAGCAGCATTTCTTGGCACTTTATCTCACTGCACTTTGCATCATATTTATATTTGCACCTTGTTCACCACCTTTACTATGCAGTGTGCTACTTCAAACTGACATAGATATAGCCAATTGTATCTACTATAGGGCTAAACACATTAAGTAAATGTAACCAATTGCATGGCAAAATGATTAAAATGTACAAGGGGTAAGGGTG